GCCCGTTTTGTTTGGTTTCCAAGAAAGTGTGTTATATTTGAAATTTTGTTGCCAGATATATTGATTTATAATTATGAAGCTTTGGCTATTTGTTAATTCCAGGTTATATCTATTGGAAGTTCCATTTCAAATAGTGCACCTCTTATTAATTTTTTTGGTACATTGTTAGTGGGTATCAACTCAACTCAGATCTTGTTCATGGCATGTCTTGTTACGATTCTTGTTCTATTAGATTTATTAGTCATGTGTTGTATTTTCTATTTGCACATTTTCTATGAATCAGAAGTGGGAAGAAATTGTGCTTATTTTACTAACTTAGGCCATAAATTTTGTTTAATTGTAGATTTACCAATTTTGGTTTTCGAGACCTTAGGGGAGAACCTTTTAACGTTTGGGATAATGGGATGCTCCCTCCTGCATATATTGTGGATTGGAGAAGTATGCTACTTCAACAAATGCAATCTTTCAAGTGTTATTGATGAGTTGAGTGGCTGTGTAATGATGCTTTATGATGCTTTGAGGTCTTCATACATGCTGCGTTAACCATGGGCACATATTTGATGGATACATATACCATTTTTTTTTTTTTTTTTTTTTTGAAAGGCATATATTTACTATCTTGTGTTTTAAGGATATTTATCCTTGATTTGTTAGCTCTAATTTGGGTCTTTGTAGACCTAAATATTTCTTAAGTTTGATGTAGCATTGTCAAGGTAGCTGGTAAGATCTAAAACACAAGGTTTGTTTTGATGACCGTCCTTGGCAAACCAATGTTGCATTTCGGATAATGTTTCCATGGATTTGCTTGGTACACTTGCATTTTTATATGGTTTATTTGGTCATAGAGTTGATGCTCTTTTGGAAGTGAAGTGACATTATTTCTCATAAGGAAAGTCAATTGCTTAATTTTATGGCCCTTTGTTTTTTTCTTTGGTACGGATGGGGTAGTGCATTTGGTGGCACAATGAAATGTGATTTACTATAATGATCATTTTCCATTCAATCATTTCTACTTGTAGTCAATGAGTTAAATAGATAATTGTCTCAAAAATGTTTGAGAAATACATCATGAAACACTAGGAACAGCAATCAAATGAAAATAGTGGGAAATTGTAGAAATCCCAGATTTCTCAATGGCGGTAGAAATCAAGCAAACAGCAGCAGCACCAAGCACAAAATTGATGTGGAGAAAGCAAAAATGGCAATATCATCAGGGATAGAAAATCAAAACGTGAGAGAACTTGAAAGAGGGGAGGAACTCACTTGCCCACCATCCCTTCTTGAAGACATCACCCTTGTTTTGGGGATGTGTATTTTGGGGGTACATGTGGAGTGGGTTGTACATGTTTTTCTTCATGAATGCATGATAAATTTTTTATTGGTTGCTTTTACAAATGAACTATCAGAATTATTAACTCAAGCTCTTTCCTTTCTCTTCTCTTTCTAGAGTTTCCTTATCTGACTTTTTGAGACATGACTGAGTGTCAGTAATACATTAATTTAGGGTAATGGTAGGTTCTGTTTCTATAGGAGAAAAACTAGGGAGGAGAGTTCAAGATCATTTTAGATACTACTTTGTTCTTTTATTTTTCATATTGAAATTCTTTCATGATAAATCCATCTTTACAAAAATTGAATATTATATGACAATGAAAAAAATGAACAAAAAATGGAGAATATGATGAGAAATTGATCAATGGAGGTCATTGTTCCCTTTTTTTTTATCCAATTTGTTTGTCTCGAAATAATTTAAATTATGTTTTAGAAGATTAAAATTATTAACTTTGATGACTTTATTAAATTTAAATAATAATTAGAAGATTTAATTTAATGAAAAAAATTCAAATTTAAATACGTAATATTTTAAAATATCCAAACAATGTATTTAAAAAATTTATGTATTTGAAATTTATTTTTTTAATTCAATCAAAAAAATATATTTTAAAATATATATATTTTAAATACATATATTTTAAATACATTCATCAAATTCAAATTCAAATTTTCAAACACATAGATAATGACAATCACTTGTGTTAGCACCTTTACTCTTTTATTATTTAGTTCACTTTTTTTTCTCTGACTGATTGGTTTATCAAAAGATGACACAGTAGTTTGCGGAGTAATGAACAGAAAAGCGTCTGGCTAAACCTTCGAATGGTTAAAAGTATAAATATTTCGAATTCAAATCTAATAATGACAATCACTTGTGTCAGCACCTTTACTCTTTTATTATTTAGTTCACTTTTTTTTCTCTGACTGATTGGTTTATCAAAAGATGACAGAGTGGCTTGGGGAGTAAAGAACAGAAAAGTATCTTACTAAACCTTCAAATGATTAAAAGGATAAATATCTCGAATTCAAATCTAGGAATTTGAGAATGAGGAAACTATTTGCTATTATATAATCCATTATTTACTGGATTAATATAATATATAAATATGCATATATACAGAAAAACTGGTTTGCAGCCGGTATTATAAATTTTTGGACGAACAAGATTACTAAAACTAAAACAACGTTGTTTCAGTGTTCAAGAGTTTTCGTACGTAGGGTTTGTGAATTTCTGAAACAAAGGAAAGTCAAGGAGAGACAAAAGCTGGGGTATCGAAAAATTTGCAATACCGGCTGCAAACCAATTTTTCGATATATATATATATAACACGAATAGAAATACGAGGGTTGCTGGCCATCTCTATTTTCTTCATTGATTTTGGTGCGCTGCAGGACCAGCAGCACCCTTACTTTAAAAGAGTTCACTTTCTTGGATAACTTGGATAATTGTCTATCGAGACAAACGCTTCCCTTTATGATGAAGGCACTGCTTTTCTCTTAATCAAAGACACAGCAATCCAAGAAAATTAGAGTTTTCATTATCAAATGAGTCCCTACCATTTTAGAACCTACTGATCAATTCTTATACAGCAGAACAAGATAAGATTTCAATGCAAATTGATTAACCGTTTATAACTTCCAGCCTTTTTAGTTCATAAATTAAGAGGTAGAGCTCATAATCTACAGCATTATCCCTCATCACCCAACCTTTCAAGTGCAATGCCAAAACCTTTCATCTAACTCTTTCCCAGTGTTCACTCATTAGCTGCAGTATGATAAACACAGCTGTTATAGAACTATGTACTCTCTCCAATCTCCTCATGCCCACCACTGTGTGAAACAGAGGTCGCCACACTTTTCCCTTTTAAATCTGATGAGGCTGTAGGATCAATGTCTGAGCTTTCCTCATTCTTCTGCTTCTGCAGGAGCTGGAGCCGGTTTTGCAGCACCTATTCAAATGATTATGGGTTGGGAGATTAGAATAAACCAGAGGAAATTATGGAAAATAAATAGAATAAACCAATGTAAGGTCTATATGCTAAACATTGGAACAAAAGCTTCATATGAATGGGACAGCTAATCATCCTAGGAAACTATCATAGAATCAGTTGTGATATCGTGCCATGCCCTCCTCGCATGCAAGCCATGGTTCTAAAATCTCATCATGTTCAGAAATAAAAGAATGTCTGTATAGATGCCTCCTTACTTCAAGGAGACATGGATGTACAATAGATGCATTGAAGACATTTAACAGGAACTTGCAGGGCATGTTCTAAGCTAAATCCATTTTAGGGATAATAGATACCAAATAGTTGACTGTAGGACGTCTTCTAAGGGATATCAAGCACATCTCCAATTGCAGAGAATTATTTCCTAAAACAAGGTTGGCAAACTCCTGGCCTATGTATGTGTGTGTGTATAGATATATAAATATATATATATATATTTTTTCTAATGCCTGTATTATGATGTGGCATTAGGGCACTGCCTAGGGCTTTGGGCATGGTAGTGAGCCGAGGCTTCTTTCTTCTCTTTTTTTCAAATAAAGCAAAAATTTGTTAAAAAAATAAAAGAAAAATGTTAGAAAAATTAAAAAAAGAAGAAAAAAGAACAAGTTATACATCTTTCCTTTTATTAACTTTCTGAATTAGTTGTTCAAGTCTACAACAATCATTACTTGGTCCAACTGTCCAAACATAGCAGTCCTGCAGTGCCACTATAAGTTCATTTCGAAGATAATGCTACAATTATTTACAACACCCGAATGCATGCAAGGTGAAGGGCCACTGCCTAGCACTACAACACTGGCAAAAACTAAGTTCCTAAGAAAAACTAAATGGTGAAAAACTTAGTCTCCATTTTGTATGGATGTGGTTTTTGGTTTTAGTCTTTAAAAATTTTGCAACTGCTCAAAACTAAAATTAAAAACCAAAAATTTTAACACCGACAACTAAAACTATAAACTTGTTTAATAGTATTAAAACCATCTTTGTTCTTATTTTTCTCTAATAATCATAATAATATACTAAATCACATTAGAAAGTAAACAAGTTTTTTGTTTATAGTTGCAAAATTTGTAAAATTCAAATCTAAAAAATTAGAAACCACAGCAGTACTAAATGAAGCCTAATGAATGGTTATGCTGATCCATTTGTTATTCTCATCTGATTCTTAAATATTAATTGTTAAGTGTTAAGCATATTGAAATTTTGTATTATGGAAGTACAGAAACTCCAATGTAGGAAAAGTCACAATCACTCATTAACAAACCAAATAGTACAAAGCAAGCAAGAAGAGCAACATAACAACATTTTAACAGTACCTCAATCTGGTATTGAAGAAATTTCTCCTGAGCTTCCAACTGGGGAACCACAGTACTTGTGTTACTGCCTAAAAATTCAGCAGAATTACCACTGGCACCAGGTAACTGAACAGGGACAAAAATACAATGTGGAAATTGGGGATGGGACAAATTTGCAGATTCGCCAGGAACTGCAAATTGTTGTTGTCCAACATACGTCTGTTTGCCACCAGATTCCTCATTGGAGGAATCAGGTGCAGACCTATAACCCGGGGGAACTACAGCATATCCGGGAGACCTGCATAAAAATTGAAATATCATGGTACAGCCAATTGGAGAAGCAAGTTTCCAGATAAAAAGCTACTATTCATGCCAAAAGAAGATACAATATATGAAATTAGATCAAAGGTGTGCTATCTTTGGTTGTATATAAGCGCACCAACATAAAAGCCAAGTGCAATGACAAAAAAAAAAAAAAAAAAAAAGAGGAAAATGCAAATGCAATTGGGAGAGCAACAAAACGAATGGAATCACCAACCAAACTAGAGTGTTTGCAGAAGGATAAACATAAGACTTTTCATATATTGAGGCTGCTGCCAAAGCAGCTTGGAGCCTGACTTGATGTGGAGTCAAATTATCATTGACCACACCACCAGCAGAACCTTGAGCAGCATTAGAGAATCCTGACCCTGTTTCCACTCAAAATGGTTAGTCCTTGTTTTCAGATTATCAAGGCAGCATCAATGAATTATCATTAAAAAATGAAAATTAAAAGTTAAAATAAAAGAAATTACTCCAGAAATAGGCAAAGATTTGGGGGTATCTATACATAGAGACATTCCAATAAAACCAAAAACCATACCAGTGTTGGGTAGTTTGGCAATTCCATCTTCTCAAGGATTTATTGTGTCTCATTGTACTTCAAGAAGTGTTTTGTGTACTTAGTAGGAGATAACATAGGTTTCAAATTCTCAAATTTCTTCACAGGTGATAATTTGTTTGGAATCTTTGAGCCATAGATGCCAAATTCTCTATTGAGTTTTTCTTCTTCTTCTGTGTTCTCTCCAACTTCTATAAATATCTCCGACAATATTTACATTCACACATTACAACAACCAAACATCCTTTCATCTTTCCCAGCAAGATAAACCCAATTTCAGTCACTTATTTCCTTGAAAACTTGACCTAATTTCCTACCTCAACCTTTCTGCAAACATATAAGCTTATAAATCCTGAGTCTTTTTCTTCTAAAAGACCTAAACTTCAAATCTTAATTTTGTTGATCACAAAGCATTGTTAAATGTCAATAGACCCAAGCCTAATGAAGGATAGTTGATCAAGAAGGATGCCATAGCAAGTAGGATATGGATTCAAAAGGAAGATCATCTAGTTGGAAGATTATTCAGTCTGTCTTTTCCCTCATGGTTGAGTTCCTTAGCTTCTACAATATTAGGAACAGCCTTAGCTTCTACAATATTAGTAGCATTCACTGAATGTAATATAATCATTCACTATTCCAGTTAGTGTTAATGGGGGTACCTTTTTCTTACAGATTGTGGGACATCCTACTTTTACTAATTAAAACAATTGGTAATCATATGATCATCATTCACAAAAAAAAAAAAAAAAAAAAAA